AGGAGATAATAATAATAATAATGGGTGGTTTAGAAATGGAAAACCAAGTTGCTTCTGGACTCTACAGTTGGAACCTGGGAATATACTTTTCTCCAATATCCCAGAAATTAAGGGAGGTCATTTAATTTAGAAAGATTATCAATAGGGATTCTGTTGGTGGAAGTGTTATTGTTCTGTCTTCTGATGGTTCTTGGTTCTGGTCTCTTGTTGATTTGTTGTTTCTATTAAATGTGGCTTCTATATATTGTCAAATGTTCTGTATCAGGGTATGTGTTGGCCATGATAAACTAAATCAGTAATGCAACTCTCTTTTCCTTAATGTGGGTTGATTAATGATCTATGTTTTTGCCCTCATGAATGATAGATTGATGCAAATTAACACACAAAGCCATAAGAAATGTGAATTTCACTGTCAATCAATCATAGCCTTTATCCCATAAGTGGGAAATGTAAATATCACTATGGCATCTAAATATATATACTTCGTATATGTTTTACTTTGCTACCACTCAGATACTACTTTGTGCAGGCCAATTCCAAATCCTGTGGATATGCGGGGAAGTAACAAGTCCAATGCTCTACATCTGGTTGGTACTAATAGTACATACTAGCCAAGCTGGATAAATTGATATTATGCGTTCTGTTTATTAAAAAAAAGCATGTATGCACATGACTAGAATAACTTTTTTTTAAAAAAATAATACTTTTTTTTGGGGGGGAACTCAACCTCTAATATGTCAAGATCTCTTGTTGAATCATTTTGCTAAAGTAGGTTTTCTTTCTCAATTGAATATCAGTTGCTGTCAGCACAACTACTTTTTGCAAATAATGTTCTGACCTTAAATTTGTTATACTGCATTGATATATCTTGTATGTCATTTTCTTGGATTTACCTATTGAATTGACTTCAATTTTCTTTTCATCATTTTAATTATTATATAGTGATTGAGTTTATTGGACAAATTCTAATTAGAAATACTCATATGTGGTATTAATTGAATTGCAGTACTATGCTATTAAATAATTTCTATTTTGTCTCTGGTTTTTTTATTTACCATTTGAGAAATATTTAAGAAATTGTTTGAGCTTTCTGCAGGGTAACTCATCAAATTCCATGCAAGTAAACATCACAGGTATACAAGGTGGCAGTTTTCCTACAGTGGGAAACAGGTTGGAGTGTCCTGCTAATGAAATGCAGAAACCACTTCACAAGCCAATTTCTCCTTCACGGTTTTCTCAGATGTCATTGCAACACTCACAGTCTTTGAATGGGAGCCCTCAGCCCTCCAGACAAACTGAATCTCAGCTTTCAACACCGTTGCATTCGAACCAAAAATCAAATAACAGTATAGAGCAGCAAAATGATGATCAGGTTTGCTTCAACTTGTGTTTTCACATTATTTGCCGTATATTCATGGACAACTTTCTGTCTCTGAGCTCTTGCCACATGTGTATCTAGTTTCTCATTTTTGTGTCTTTTATTTTCAGTCACCCCAGACCTGCAGAGATACTGGCTCAAACTCAGTTATGCTGATCTCTGAACCTGCTTCGTGTCCATCTAGAAGTGATTTGTCAGAAAATCCTATAGACTGTGATTGGAGTGAACACATCTGCCCTGATGGTTGCAAATACTACTTCAATTGTGTGACGTGTGAAAGCAGGGTAACATTTCAATGTCTTGTTTGGCTTTAACCTGTTTCCTCGCTTCTGGTTCTTATCTTGTTGGCTCGACTTTTATGAATTTTATAGTGGGAAAAGCCAGAGGAGTTTGCTCTTTATGAACAACAGTTAAAGGGGATGCAGGTGCAAAAACATTCTTGTCAAGAGCCCCTCTCAGCTTTGGAGGCTTCATCTGTTGAAGAAGACTGTCAAATCCAAGCAGCACCTGATCAGAAGGAACCATGCGATTTTGAAAAGCCCCAGTTGACAATGTCGTGCTCTGTGGTTAGTCTTCCCTATGCTCCCGTTACTAATTATTTACTCGCTTTTTTAATTTGTTGCATAGTTGCATATAATGTTTTTGATGTCTGGAAAAGGTTATTCATTTCTCTAATTAGTAATACTGTTTTATGATTGGACTTTCTGATGATGCTCTGACTTAAATATAGCATTGTTTCTTAATAAATTCATGTCATATCAAGAATTGAGACAGTGTAACAACTACTTCCTGAGGGAGGGTGAGGAATTTAATTTTAGCAAGTTACTCCTCAGTCCTCACCCTTCATTTACTCATCTTTTGTGCCAATCCTCTAATATTATGTGCTAGGAATAAAAGATCAGATTGAACCATTGATTGATAGTATAACCTGTGCGGCTGTGCCAGAGTTCTTTATATCGATGGTCATCGTTATTTGGTATCTTATGAGGGATTTTTGACATAGCTTAACATACAGTAACATTACCCCAGTGTCCATTGTCCAACTGAGATTCTGAGAAAAATTAGCATGTCATTGGCAACACATTATATTAATTTTTCCAAGGAATAATTTGGTCCAATTACATTTTTTAGGTTTGTAAATATAAATTTTTCATCCAATTGAAGTTATGAGGCCTTTTCAACTTCTATTTTTACTATGAAAGTTGGCCTTGAATCTATGATGGTTTTGTTATACTGCAGGAACATGGTCATGAGCAAGTACAAGCAGAAACCAGCGCACTTGGTGGGCCGTCTTTTGTTCAATAGGTAGCATCTCAATTTTTTTTCATAAAAAAGATATATTATTTCCTTTCCTTTTGCTTGTAACAACTTGGTATTAGATCTGTATATTATCTATATAACGACCAGGAAACTGTATCAAAAGGGAAGTTTCTTGCTAGCTCTGCATTTAACTGTAAGTATACCAATGATGTGCTAATTCGGAATCACGCATTGATCATTGTTTAATCCACGATAATAATGGCGTACAACCTTAACAGGACGCCTCTTAGGTAGAACAAAAAAGGCATGTACTGCTGTGAATTGTGGTATAATTTGTTGAAATGCTGATCAATCTATGGTCTTATTTAACTTCCACCAAATCTATCAGGAAGTATAATTATGTTTTTACACAGGAAGCTGAGGTCAAAATCTTGCATGATAGAATATCATTATAAATTGATGTGAGACCGTCTTACATAAGATTAGTTCATCTTTATACTCCGTACATTCTTTACATAATGTTAATTTCATTCCTTTCCTGCTTAGAGATTCGACTCATCTAATGCATAAAGTAAGATGAACAAGTAGTTTCAGGGGTAATATCCCTACTTCCAGATTCTCCTCAACAATGTTCTATGAACTTAGATCTCGTATCTTACTTCAAATTATGACATATTATATCTAGTTATTAACCTTGAGAATATTTCATAAACACTACAACCAAACATAAAAATGCACAAACAATTAAGACAAAAGTAACATAAATACATTTATATACAAGTGATGCACACAGTTTATGAACCAAAATACAAAAGTAATGTTAAAATAGAGTGTTTGAACACATTCAATGAAACAAAAGGCAGAAGAAGAGGGCAGGCAGCAGCAAAGCATGCACGAAAGTAGCAAAAAGAATGCACATAAATTCAGCGTGATCAAAGTGGGGTATATTTATATACTTGTATTAACTACTGTTACTATAGTTGTTGCCTCAACCTATTTATCTTATTACTTGTTTTGTTTTGTGTTGTCCATCCGTGCGTCCTCTTTTGGATATTTCAATCTACTTCATCAGTGACTATCAAATTGCTGCATTGTTTTGTGTTTTTAGAACTCCCATGTTTTCTGTCAAAATTTCTCCAAATCACGGTCTATGGAATGTTGACGCTTTAACTAATTATGATCTACGAATTGACATTATGTCCAAGTTTCACTATTTTGTCACCACCTCATCTCATTAACAAAATTATGTACTCCATACTAATTTAATCATCTACTAAAACACATCTTGAAACATAATCTCTCATTCTTAGGACTGACATACGTTATACCAAGTAGCTGATTTTTTTTCTTAATGTACGAATCGCTATCTATGATAAGAGTATATAACACAATGGAGTATATAGTTTGATGAGTATAAAACTTTATTTTACTCTATATCATTTGCTTGAACTTCTGTATAGGATATCTCAAAATAGTAATCAATTATTTGTAGACAAAGAGAGTATTATGTCATATGAGTATGTTTTTTTTTTATTCATCTTTCTTGATGTAAGGAAAATCATTAAAATTCAAATGAAACAACATTAATCCTATTTAGCTTGAAACTAAAACAGTAATAGTAAAACTAGATTACTGTATCTGATTAAACTTATTTTTGATATTCAATTATTAAAATGGTATGCAAATCAAGATTAATTTCAACATACAACCAGAAGAAAAAAAAATAAAGGTAAAAATAGATTCTGAAAAGAAGTGTATGAACGTGGGCCTTTGCTTTAACTTAAAATATAATCCTGAATATAGTGTAGTCTATATATAAAGCTCAATTCCCCAGATGAACAATGCAAAACCGAAAGTTTTTCTGTCATTACATACCATATCATACGTACTCTGTGTTGTAAACCCTAGCTACTACTCCTCTTCTTTCACCTGTTTTGCCTAAAACCCCTCTTATTTTTCCTCCATTCCCTATCTACTCATTCAATGCTTCTTCCTCCTTTTCAACCCAACAAAGATACTTGCCCACTTCTTCTTTTTTACCTTTTTTAGTCTTTTTTTTACTCACACTAATAGTTTATCAATAGAGAGAACAAAAGTACAGGCAATGAGGTAAGCTTCATTAAACTCTTGTACTACTACATCAAAGGTATTCATCATGAGATCGATGAGAACGATTATGATCATGATCATACTAGTATGTGGCCATGTTTAGAACGCGCGCAACACGGTTTAGCTGATACTGCCTCACACTAATTTACTGTGAACATCGAACAGTCAGTAGCTGTCTATTACATGATCTCATCATAACTCATATGTGCGTACAATTGCGTGTAAAATGAGAATTTCAACTAAAGGAACCATATAGAAAAAGGGAACTAACATGTACTAGCATAGTAGTAGTTTTTCCATATCATACCCCAATAACCAAAAGTTGATACAATGACAAATTCCTCATATATGAAGAAGCTAAGTACTAGTTTATATGATGATGATGAAGGATCTTTTACACCAAATTACACTAGCTAAGATCAGTAGTGACAGGATACTACTAAAATTACAAATCTAGTCAGCAAAATAAATAAATTTTAAAATTTCAGAAAACAAAAATACACATTATAAAATACTAATACTATACTATATTATATGATCATCTTACTCTTCTTTTTTCATAATAGAAGGAACTATATCTTGTAGAAGTCCATGATCTCTAAGCAAAGCTGCACTAACAGGAGTAGAATTTGCAGCACCACCACCACAAAAGCTCTTTTCTTGTGAAGCTAATATTGAACAACTATTACCAAGATTATTATTATTAATATTATTTGGTAATGTAAGACTATTATTACCAAAATGATTAAGTTGAGGTACCAAGCTAGTGACATAATTCATTTGAAGCTGATTGTTAACCATTTGCACTGGCAGGGCAAAGGGGGAGGCTGCACTAGCACCACAACCACCACCAACACCGACACCGAAACCGGAGCCGTAACCGGGGCTCGGCATAACCCCACGTGGAAGGACAGTACAAGGGTGGGTATGCTGACCTTCATAAGTTGTAACAACAATGGATGGATCAGTGAAAGATCTTTCCACTCTTTTCTTAACATTACATGATGCACTGGTGCAACGGTAGTAACTCCTACAAAAACAAATCCCAAAAAATTAAAAAAGCATATTAACACTATCAATTTTTTCAGTGTAACAATAATTATTATACACTGAATTTGATGAATTTCGATTGGATGGTTTATTATATGGTATGGTGTAGTGTATAATATAAAGTTTTAAGAAATAATTTTTTACACAAAAATGGAGTAAATTAAAGAGAGTATATACCTTGGGAAAGGGCTGTTTTTGACAGCTTTTTGGCCGTACTTTCTCCATCGATAACCATCTTCTAGATGATCAACCTCACTCTTTGTCATGAAAGCAAATCTTGGCTCTCTCTGCCGTTTCTGATTTGTCTTTTTGGCCTTTGTCGTCGATCTTTTTAAAACACCCAAAATACACACAATAAATAATTAAGGTTAGAGAAACTCCGAATGAAATTTATTTTAATTAAGGGGTATTTTATGAATTGATTATTCAAACTATATATTATATGCTTAGATAAAAAAAACTATATGCACAAAGCAAAGCGCAATATGTACAGTATCATTACAGATTTGGTACCAACAAATCAGAATTAGAATCAGAGTAAAACACACTAAAAAAAACCTCTTTTGTATGCATTTTATCGGAAAAACATTTGATGACCCACAACTTCAAATCCTCTTAAAATCACAAAACAAAAAGAACCCATTTTCCCATTCACACTCCTTTCAAATGGGTTTATCTCACACAAAAAAAAAAAAAAAAAAAAAAAAAAAAAAAAAAAAAAAAACCTTACTGTTTCTTAGCCTTTTGTTCAAGTTCATCTTCACCATCTTCTTGTTGGTGTTCTTCATTTGATGCAGAAGAAATCGAAGACGAATTTGGAGTCGTCGGAACATTATTACTATTACTATTATTATTATTATTATTGACAACTTCAGAAGATTCTGGATTAACAACAATGGAAGAAGAAGTAGGAGGAGGAGCAATAGTAGTAGTAGTAGCAGCAGCAGCAAGGGTGGGATCAGGTGCAGGAGGATCCATTGAAGCAGAAAAGACTTGATTTTGTGAAGTCCCATCATAACCATTGATCATCATCATATCATACAAAGAAGGGTTTATATTTTGAATCATATCTTGCATACCTAACAATTCCATAAACCCTGTTGTAGTTGATGATGAAGAAGAACAACTCATCTTGTTTTGATTATGATGATAATCAAGTGAATCATAGCTTTCAAAACAGCTTGAATTGGCTAATGATGTTGTTGTTGATGAAGATGAATGATGATTTTCACTTAAATAATGGTAATTACTACTACTATTATTGTTGTTGTTCATCAAAGTTTCCATCTTTACTGCTTTCTTCATCTCCATTTTTTTAGATAGAAAATTTTCAAAGTTTGTAGCTTTGAATTTTTACCTAAAACGATTCTCTCTCTAGCTACCACCTTAAATTAGAGAAGAGAGAGAAAGAGGTGAAAATGAAAGAGTGTTGAGGAAGAGAGAAAAGAGAAGGGAGATTTTGGTTTTACAGTAGGATGGATTGAAAAAAGTGGAAATGGGTACAAAATCAATATCAAATTAAATATACAAAAAAAAAATGTTGTATTATTACTATTACTCTAGTAAGAAGTAGGTTATATATTTATTGGTGCTAGGTTTGAAGGACTCCCTAGCTAGCCTAGCTAGCTAAAAGATTTTTATAATGTATGGCTTAAATATATCCAATTTGAAATTATATTAGCCCATTACCCATACATTAATGAATTCATGGATCATTTAATTTATATATATACAACCATTCTCTACGTAATAATGTAGACCATATATATAGTGTTATGTTTTTATAAGTTTAATACCTTCACTTTCGAGATCTGAATACAGAGTATCTATCGACAAGTATAATTTAACATTGTTTTTAAAATTTTAAAACTATAAAGGATTTTCTAACTGTTTAAATAAACTTCCTATGATTTATTTTATTTTATTTTTTCCACTTTGTTTTTGGTATATAAAAGACTTTGGTTTATGAGAGTGATGAATAACAACATTTTCACTTGAACTTATTAATTTAATGTAATTATAGTATATTAAGGTGAAAATAATAACTTGTAGAATGACGTATTGTGATTAGTGAAAAATCTTGAAGAAAAGATATACGAAGTATAAAAAACGAACACGTGTCGGTCAAGCAGAGTACGGACAAAGACGTGGCTTGGTTGGTATTAAATGCAAAGAGAGTTTGGTCGAAGGAAGATGCTGGCGAAGTCGCCGTTTTAATACTGTTTAAGGTTTGACCATCCTTTTTTTTTTATTATTTGTTATTTAAAAAATAATGTAATTAATTAAATTAAATTAATAAATAAATAAATAAAATAAAGTGTGAATTGGGATTTGAGCTTTGTGGGGGATAAAAGGCAAATGGCATGACATGAATAATGGAATTGAGGATACGCCGCTTGAAAGAAAAGGAAGAAGCTTCGTTCGTGTGCATGTGAATGTGAATCCTCCAATTATGCTATGCTATCCACTTAATTTGTTTAGTGTTCGTTTACTCTTTTCTTTTCAAATTTCAAATTTTTAAATACCCAATGCGCTCTTAGATTTGTTTAGTTAAACGAATAAGACACATATTGGATTATGTGTAATGATGCATGCTGAATGATTCTATGTGTGTTCATTGAGGCTAGTTAAACCTAACTCACGGTTAGTTTAATCCATTAGCTATATATCGTGCTTGCTTATTTAAGACAAATTTTACTCGTTTATTGTGTATTATAATGTCGAGTTATGTCATGTCATTCTACACATTTATTGGCAAATTATCTTACTTTCTTCATAAATTGAATATGTCTCGTGTCAATGTACGAGCGAGTTCACTCTACGTAACTTTGGAGTGAGAACAAGTACTAGCTTTATAACTTTATTGGCAAGAGGTATACTTTTATGCACCGATCGAGCACAAAAATGCATCAAAGCACTTTAAAATCCAAAGTATTTTACATAAACCCATGCAAAAAAATGAAAAATAAAGGCTTTACTAAGACAAATAGCTAGACAATATGCATGACATGCATGATCCTCCAAAATCCTTTGCTTTATTTCTCTCCCTTTGCTTTTCTAGAAGGCCAGATTCTTTTCTCACCGATCCCTAGAAAGACATTAGGAAAGAATAAAATAGTGGGGGTGGATTTTCATGAATTGATAGCTCAATAAATATGTTATTGGGAATTTCGGCCAATTACATAACAAAATTATTACTCTGCAAAAAAGTGAGGTTAAAGTATCAATTGTTTAAGGTGTTCCCTCTTATTCAAATGTAGGTGGTTTTAATAATTTATACACGTCAAGAAATTAATTAAACTACTTCATAGGTGATTAACGTTAAAATTACATAAATACTACTCGTATTCTACATAGAGTAACATTTGGTATTGTACGGATGTAATAAATTAGGGTGTTGAACTAACAATTTGAAATTGTAATAAGTAAATCTGATAAAGTATTAACTTAGTGTTAAATTCTTTCAAAAAAAAAAAATAGTTTTAAATAACTTATAATTTAGGAAAAAAGTAATTGAGTAAACAACTTATTATATGTCCAACGGGTTCAATGAAGTGTGTAAAATAATAAAAGCTAGTCATGTCACAAGTACATATTAAGTGGCCTGATATCGTATTGTTGTTATCATAATTGATTCGAACACTAAGAAAATTAAATTTAGTATCAGTTATATTCTTTAGTTTCTTCAACTGGGAGATTGACACGAATGACAATAAAGATAACATATAAATAAGACTAAAACTGAGCAGATTAGAGACGAAAGAAAGTGAAAATAATATACGTTATTATGGAGAAAAGTTGTCTCCAATCAAAATATAGAAGCGTGAAAATCGAAGGTTTTATGCTACCCAGTAGCAAAATTAAAAGACAAGCGTAACAACAAAATGGAGTATCTTTTGTGTATACATTCCAATATCAATTTTAATAAGTTTTGATAACTTTTCTTACTGTTTTTAGTTGGAAAAAAAGAAGAGACAAATGGATCAAAATAGATTCCAAGTGGAAAAACTAAGGTTTTATATATACAAAAAATGATGCCATATGCTAAATAGAGACAATAAATAAATGGCTCAATTGCTTTGAACCTAACCCTAAAATTAAATTATGGCAAACAAACATTATATTACATAAAAGAGAAATTAAATTATGAAGGAAAACAAAAAGAAAGGTTAAATTTGCAAATGCATAAAAGAAGATGACAATAATGGAGGATAGCTGTGTTTCTTTTGTGGACATCCAACCTTTTTTTACCCAAAAAGAAAAATAAAGTAGAAAAAATAATAATTACAAAGTTTAAATTTCACATATATTTCTTGCAAAGCTTCTGCACGTGTGACATAGTGTAAAAATTTGAGGCCTGATGAAAATGATTACGTGCTGAGGTAATTTACGTGCCTCTTTTAAAGATCTTTCGTACCTTCTCCTCTCTCTCCGCCTATGATTTTGCCTTTTTATTCCATCATCTTATATTCGATCTTGTTTCTTTCGCATGCATGTTCTATATCTATCGATATTGTAATTATGTACTTTATACGTACATTTCTAATTCCGATAAGTGTCAATTTACATAATGTATACCGGAATTATTTAAGAAGAAGATAATGTAAGTACGATTTAATATATCATTTGAGAATTAGGCTCGTCTTTTCTCGAGGCAGAAATTTTAAATTTTTAATATTATCGTTACATTGTACCTTTTATTATTCTATAATTTAGTTGACAGTTTATTGTGCCACAATATCACTCTTATGAGTTATGTATGGTAGCTTAGATTGATTATTAGAACAAGATGGACTATTTAAAAGCTCCTAAAAGAGAATTATAAGTTATTTTCACTATGACAGTCTTTCTCCTTTCTCATCTTCTAATGCTGGTTAGTTTTATCTTCCTATATCTAAATGAGATATTTTTGTGATTAAACAAAACATTTTATAATAATTATACGCATAGTTATTTTTTCAAACTTTTTTATGATATTTGTGAAAATTCTATGAGGTTTAAAGATCAACTTTCAAAAACTAGAAAAATTCTAACAGTCAATTGAAAATTAGCCATGAGGCCCATGACACATAAAATACACTTCGGAGGATGTAGATACATGACTAATGTTGCATTTGATTGCATCATTTGATTTGTTCAAATAATTCAATCTTTATATAATTCGGTACGAAGTATTATGTTGCGTGTATAATGATACTTCTAGTACAAGGCCATGCTAGCTAAAATTAATTTATTTCTTTACTTATTTATATTCTTTTGTTTTGGCATAATAAATGCTAGCTAGTGTGTTCTCTAGGAAACTTTTTGTACAACCTATTATTAAAAATGTTATATTGTTTTCTCTTTTATCACCTTATTATTAAAAATTACGGAATATTCTTATCATAAAACTATTTATTTGTAAATTAAAGGGAAAATGACTTTAATTAAAATTTACAAATTAAATTTATCCCAACAAAATAAATTTATATCAACTTATAAATTATGTATGTGGCAATTATCATGCAAAATATACGGAGTATTTTGCATGATCAACCGACGAATGCATGGCATTGGCATGGGGGCCAGGCCAACCGTGGAAGATCGCTAGCTTTTCTAATAAAGAATTTAGTAATTACTTTAGGTTAACATTTATCGGTTATTGGGATTAGCATCAAATCTATGGTAATTAATGGTAATCTTTTTTATCTTTAATATGGATATGATCAGGATTATTGTATTAATTATTTACTGTCAATTAAAAGGAATATATTTTATATTAATACCACTAAAGTAAAACTAATCAATAGTTTTATGTTATGATAAAGTTGATTTCATGATGAATTGTATTCATCAAAGCAAATAACACCTTGAGTAACTTTCTTGGTGGATTTTTATCCAATGAAGGCATCAATTAATCAATCATGTCATGTTGAAGGGACCGATTGATGGTGATTATTAATGACTAATGAATAGGGTGTAGCTTAAATTTGATTTATCCGAGCTTATTATAGTAGTTGTGAATTAAAGTTGTGTTAGTTTTATATATGAACCTAATAAATTCCTGTAAATTGGAATATAATGCATCTATTGTAGTATAATTGGTTTTATAATAAAGCAAAAAGGGTAGATCATTCTAGTGTTGAGATGATGCTATATAATTCGTTGACTAGGCTCTAACATTCTAACCTTAGTGAGTCTGTCACGAACTAATTTTGTTTAGATTAAAGATACATAAATCTTAGCTTACTAAATATTGGAAACTTTTTAAAGAGATCGGAAACATATCCAATAAGCTTATTAACTTTGGATCATTTACAAAACCTATCCATTAAGGTGAGAAAAACACTTTGCAGAAACACATAAGAAGATGTCAATACCTAAAAAATATACCTCAGGTCAGGTATAAAAACTTTTTACAGATACTGTTAAATTTATGTCGTAAGTCATAAACCATCCTAAATTACGTGATATAGTGTAGTTTTTCATTTGATTTGGAGTTTTGTATAATTTGGAATCCATCAATATATATTATCACCTTTATTTAGATGTTGATCATAGTTATTTGAAGCTATGTGACAAAATAAACTTTTATAATCATAGATTAGCAAGTAAATTAAAATTAAGTAGATGTATCAAGTGAAGG